AAACGACTCATGGATAGCGAATAGATCCACGGTATGTACTCGTGACACGGCATCAATGAGGAATCGTTAATAGCCCAAACGATTATTAGTCAGTTGGGTCGTTCACACGGCTTTCGGGTTTTTATGCTTTAATTAGCTGAAACAAATGTAATCTTTCATATCAATTTCCTTTTTTACGCTTCAGGCAAAACGTTCAGGTTGACAAATGTCGGATGGGGTGGAGTCGGTTTGAGGGTGATGCGTGGATGTGTGTCTAGTAGCACCCATTTTCTGAAACATACGGAACATTTAAAGTGTATAGGCCGTTCTGAAGCATACATAACATTTTAAGTGTATAGGCTGTTCTGAAGCATACGGAACATTTTAAGTTATAGGCCGCTCTGAAGCACACGGAACATTTAAAGTGTATAGGCCGTTCTGAGGCATACAGAACATTTAAAGTGTATAGGCCGTTCTGAAGCATACGGAACATTTAAAGTGTATAGGCCGTTCTGAAGCATACAGAACATTTAAAGTGTATAGGCCGCTCTGAAGCATACGGAACATTTAAAGTGTATAGGCCGTTCTGAAGCATACATAACATTTTAAGTTATAGGCCGCTCTGAAGCATACGGAACATTTAAAGTGTATAGGCCGTTCTGGGGCATACGGAACATTTAAAGTGTATAGGCCGTTCTGGGGCATACGGAACATTTAAAGTGTATAGGCCGCTCTGAAGCATACGGAACATTTAAAGTGTATCAGGCTCGTAGACTTGGGTGATTCATGTGATCGTATTCCATTTGCGTAGATCGATGCTCATGATGTCAATCTTTGGACTGTCTGGCCCAGACTCGATTATTTACAGATCGCCTTCATACAGCTGGATTTTGCAGCCTGTAAATAAACGAATCAAGGTCCTAGACAAACCAATGGTCGATATCATGAACAACCTCCCACTCTTGGGTATGGTGACACGCAATGAATACTGAACCTGACCATTCCTACATTTAAATAAGTCGCCTTCTAACACAAGCAATGGAGCGCGAGGGATCTATTTGAACCACATAACCCACGGGGATTTTGTTTTTTCTTTGTTTATTTGTTAACGCTGCACTCAGCGTTCTGTAAATAATCGAGTCTGGACCAGGCAATCCACTGATTGACAATATGAGCATCGCTCAACGCCATTGGGATACGATGACATGCATCAACCAAGTCAGCGAGCCTGACCACCTGATCCCGTTAGTCGCCTCTTACGACAAGCATAGTCACCATTTATGGCAAGCATAGGTTGCTGAAGGCCTATTCCACCCCGGATCTCCACGGGTCGAACCCACGGGGAGATGCTCCTTGAACAAACAGCTTGTCATAAAACATTCTCATTCGATTGTGTTTGTTGTTCACAGCCATACTTCGCTATATGACGCCCCCCCCCCCCCCCCCCCCCCCCCCCTGTAAATACTCGAGTCTGCCCCAGACAATCCAGTGATTGATATTGTGGGCACCGTCCCTCTTACGTTTGTTTGTTGTTTAATTATTCCAGCTATATACAAAATATACACACTAGCATTTAGCTAGCAGTTTTTCATACACAAACTTCTTTCACTTGCATTTGAAGGAAGTCAGTAATGGTACGAGACGGAGGTCACGGAGTGAGCTCCACAAGACTGGAGCCATGCAGTCAGTTTTCATCAGAAACATTAATTTCTAATGTTTGTTTGTTTGTTGTTTAACGCACATTAAGCAATATTCCAGATATGTGACGGCGGTCTGTAAATAATCGAGACAATCCAGTGATTGACATCATGAGCAATTCACGCAATTGGGATACGATGACATGCATCATCCATGTCAGCGAGCCTGACCACCCGATCCTGTTAGTTGCCTCTAACGACAAGCACAGTCGCCTCTTACGCCCACCATGGGTTGCTGGGGACCCCTCTAACTCGGAATCCCGACGGGGATACATGGCTCGACCTGAACCTACTGATTGGACTATCGGGACCTGCTTGTGGTTAAACGAATTGATTTAATGTAGTGTCACATACATCTAGGTAAGCAATCAATAGTTTTCGTTGTACCATGGTTAGGTGTAAACTAGACGAGAATTAAACACCTGTGGTGAACCAGGAATTATAAGCTGAGGTGAAATGGGGTTTAACGTCGCGTCCAAGATTATTGCACTTATATAGCGACGTGCATGTACGTGTGAGTGTTTGTGTGGCTGCTTGTCCGGACTGATGTTTGTCCGGACTGATGCCGATTTATAGTGCTAGCTCACTGAGATACCATGCCGCAGTTTAACATGAATATCCCACTCAGACACAGTATACTGACTCCGAGCCGACCAGTCCTTGTTTTAGCCCCTTAATGCCGAGCGCCAGACAGGGTAACAACAAGTCCCATCTTTTAACGTCTTTTGGTATGACGCGGCCGGGGATCGAACCCCGAACCTTCCGCTCTCCGGGCGGACGCTCTACCACTAGACCAAGGAGGCGGTCACCAGGTATTATTAGATATTATATACACTACTGAAAAGAAGTAAAAGAACACCCGATTTTTTTCACATGACTACAGTTAATCTGTCATGGCTGGTGGATATTGCTACACACAGCCTTTCAGTTGGGTGTTCTTTAACTTGTTTTGTGTAGTATATGTTTCTTGAGTGAACTATCGCAACCTTGATATGAACAAAATTGCATTGTTTTTTTTTAACATTTAAAGTAAGTATAGTATGAAAGTAAGCCAAGCCATTTCAGTGAAATAAGTGGTAGATGCCATGGTATTTCTGTTTGGGTCATTGACAGAATGTTAGAGATCAGAAAAAGGTAACTTAGTTACAAATTGTCACTGTTGCCAAGATAACAAAAGCAACAAAACCACCGCCACAAACACAAAAACTCCCAGCATAATAACCACCACCAACCACTCACGGCATCCGACTCCAATGGCAGCACCCGCCACAAACACACGCACAGGCAAGCCAAACACCAACCCGAACAAAATCGGGGACGCACTTTATAAGTCAAAACAGGGAACCGAGCCGGACACTACTCAGAACGTCAATGCCAGAGAATAACCAGTCCCGATTATCTGCCGAAACAGATTAACTTGGAGGTAAAAGGTAAGCAAGCGGCAAAAAATATATAAATGGATCACTGAAAATCCGTGATGACACCAGGTGTTCGCGACAATGATAATCATGTCCTACCCTACTGGTATCACCCGCCACTCACACAAAGAAATACACCAAGGCAACAAGGTGCGACATCGGTGACCACCTACAACTCGCTAGAATGGCTGTAGAAGCTTAGAGGGTCACAGTTTCATATAAACATCATACAATACACGACTGGCGGGGAGAGACAATTGAGAAAATGGTAACCATTGCACAACTGATGTTTCTGAATGATGGTAGATTGTGAAGTCATAGTTTAGAGTGAGTGAGTTGGAATTAACGCCGCTTTTAACAGTATTCCAGTTAGATCACGGCGTGTCAGCTTATAATAGGAGGAAAGCCCGAAGTGATGCAGGTCTCAGACGTTTACTACTTTGGTGAAACCAACAAGCATGGGTATGGTGCTGACAAAATAGAACATAATCCCACTCCACAGTGTATTTATTTTCACAAGGCCTTGGACACACATTGACGTAAACACCACGGAAATGATTCGATACATCTCCCAACGGTACAGGTTCTATAGCCCAATGAATTTAAACAATGGCTTCTCGTGTTTGTTACAGTCATTGAAGTGTATTTTGTTGTTGAACAATGATTGTAACTGTGTTACATTGTTTCTGTTGAGACTCGGATAAGGACGCTCATTGCATTGTGGGCAGTGATCAGTCGTCAGGAAGTTACTATATTTAGATGTTAGTGTGGTGTGTAAACTTCCGGTTCGGTATACCGCGGACGGTGATCGTATGTTTTCGAAACAAGTGGTTCTTTACAGTATCTGGTTGAAGCTGTATATATCGTGGGACAAGAGCGCGTTTAGAGATCTCTCACGCGTTTCACATTTTGGATCCAGCTTTCATGTGAGGATCGCTCATCATCCCTGATTCCCTGCCTAGCCCATCTGTCGCCGCTTGGTAAATAGACATCACTACTGTATTTGTGTATCTGATACTGATCACTGCCATCATATTATTTATTGCCATTTAATGTTGTACTACCACTCTGTTGTTTACTGCCGTTGCAATTGCTGTGTAGTAATTTGTATTGATTTGTAAACTTGTGCAACACCAATCTATGGAGAAGTCTTTAAACAAACTTTGTTGTTCTGAAATTCCCACTCTGAAATTCATGAGTATTATTTGTTGGCAATCGGACTGCAGTGGAAATATTTAACCTCCTTCTTTCTCTCAAATCCCCATTGAGGTAACCGATATTGAAACATAATTTACTTATAATTCCATCACACACTCATACACACATAGATTGACTTGCACAACGTGGTGACCACAGATCCAGTTACGTACCGACATACAGAGGTTCAGGGCAATTTATCCAAAACGAAAGCAAATGCCATCTGAAGTTAACTGAGAAAACAATGTGAAGTGCAAAAATCGGGGGTAAGACATTTAGGCAAGACGTAGGCATCTCCATGGGCACCATTTGCACTCCCCGTCTTGCAGATCGGTTTTATTTCTTCACGGAACAAGTCAAAACAAAGTAATTTGGTCAAGAAGTTTAACTTAAGCTTCATGTACATGATGTTTATTTACTTACTGTAAGGACAATTACAGGCTTCACTCAAGTTTGTTTTGTACCCTGTTGCAATTTGCATGTATATCGCTGATCTGATATCGTTCAATAACCAACAAATAGCCAATTTCCTTCCACTGATTTGGGGGCGGTCGGGTAGTCTAGTGGTTAAAGTGTTCGCTCGTCACGCCGAAGACGCGGGTTCGATTCCCGACATGGGTACAATGTGTAAAGCCCATTTGTGATGCCCCCAGCTGTGATATTGTTGGAATATTGCTAAAGCGGCGTAAAAGCTTACTCACTCACTCCTCTGATTAACCCACCTGAACCAGAAAAGTCGCTTTTATGTATCATGTACGTTGGTTTTTTTAGAGTATGACTTATGAGTGAATCTAACCTTCAATATCAGGACATTCCCATTCCCATACAGAGCAAATATAACATATGCTACTCATTGAATGTAGGTCAACGTCAGCTGGTTAATTCCAGTTAATTATGCCAGTATTTAACCAATATATCCACGATAAAGACATCAATGGTGTGCGTTCTTTTTGTCTAAGAAACCATATGAAAAAGAATTATTAGCAACAAATACGACACATTGGAGGTTTTATTGACAGTGGCGCCATCTGTGGGACTAACGGTTCCTATCAACGTCTCCGCGGATACTGGAGCTGTGTCTGTTAACGTCTTCGTATCTGTAGTTTTGACATCGATTGCTTTGGTGTCCGTAACATTAAGGGAGATAACTCCAATTCCCGGTAGTCCTATGTCTCGGCATTCCGCTGGTAGCGGTCGAAGGACAGTCTGAGCCATGATGTCAGCAAGGTTAGGATTGCAGTTGAGAAACGCCTCCTTGTAACATTCAGCCTTCACGATTGACGCACTAAAACAGAGAATACACTTAGATATAAATATACACGTCAATGCAAGAGATTAACCAGTCTTGATTATCCCCTGAAACAGATTCCATTTTCACAATAACTGTGAAAATTATATGAATGGACTACTGCACATTGTAAATAAAAGCGACAAAGCCCTTTCTATAAACATAAATAAAAACAAAAACATTTTCACAATCATAAGAAATCACAACTAAAAAGAGTCCATGTATGATTCCGACTATATCATGAGCTTGAGTTTATGAATCACTATCAAATGGTGATGGTACCGGTGATCGCAGATCGCCTCCGTGGTCTATTGGCAGAGCGTCTGAGGACTGGTCGGCTCGGGGTCAGTATACTGTGTCTGAGTGGGGTATTCATGTTAAACTGTAACATGGTATCTCAATGGGCTAGCACTATAAATCGGCATCAGTCCGGACTAGTACAAGCAGCCACACATACACACGTGCATATACGTCGGTATATGAGTGTAATAATCTTGGACGCGACCTTAAACCCAATTTCAACTCACATCACCTGTGTTCGTGAAAAGGTGAGCGTACTCTTGCAACAACCAAACGAAAATAACATCCACTCACTTAAAAGAAACCAGACGACAGAATTCATGGACATTTCAGTGTTTACCAAATCTGTTTTTTCTAGTTTGGACAAACATATCTTAAGCTAGCTACAGACACAACGTATGCCTCATCACTACATTTGTTTTAAAACAGCTATATTTATGCACTTTGCGAAATTCATTCATCACATCGTGCTGCAATTATTTTCTAATCTATGATCTTGGAAAATTTTAAATTAAAGATTGACGTGTTGTTAATTGTAATGGGTTCAATCCCTTTGAAGTAACACTTTTTTGCACTCTGTTCCCAAACTATTTTCAACTTTCAATGTTTGGGATTATAATTGATAGATTGACCAGTTGTTACTTGAAATGGTTTAACTAAAGAAACCTTTTGAGGTTACACTTCTTGCACCGAAACTTTTTTGAACTTTCAGTGTTTGGCATTTAACGTGACAGGGTCAACAAAGCCAGATTTCCGATATATCATCTTAAATAATTGAGACAAACCAGTGGTTGAAAGTATGAGCACTTATCTACGCCATCGGGACACGAAGACTAATAATCAAGTCCAATCGTTTTTAGTAGACTATTACGACAAGCACAGGGTACTGGGGACCTAATCCTTTCCAGAATACCTGTGGGTTTCTCTGTTTGTTGTTTAACGCCGCACTCAGCAATATTCCAGCTATATGACGGCTGTCTGTAATTAATCGCGTCTGGACCAGACAATCCAGTGATTGATATCATGAGCATCGATCCACGCAATTGGGATACGATGACATGCATCAACCAAGTCAGCGAGCGTGACCACCCGATCCCGTTAGTCGCCTCTTACGACAAGCATGGGTTGTTGAAGACCTATTCTAACCCGGATGTTCACGGGTAGAATATCTTTGGGGGCGTGTTTAAAGCATGGGTACAGAAGTCTATGGAACATTATACGCTTAAAACATAAACGACTCATGTCCAAATGACTTTCCAGATGCTTCACTCCACTGGTTAGTCTTTTTTTACACCTCGCCGCTGTAAAGCTGTAAAGGTAGAACTCACTTGCAGGCTGCTTCTCCGATATCCGTCTCATTAAACGTTGGATCGGTCTTCATGTCGTTAGCTGTAGTAGCAAACGTGTTCTCACAGTTGCGTATGAACGGTTCAGAAATGTTGAAACAGTCGAGGGTCACCTGCTGTATGATGTCTGGAAGGTACAAAAAGCTTTTATATAAACATAATAGCCATACTTAGGAACTGACACATGAACCATGCATACTACTCAACATTTGCTAAGGACCACAATTGAACAAAGATGACTATTTTACTCCTAAGCAAATGTAGTATATTATGGCTGAGCAAGATTTGAATGCTGAGATATTTATTGTATCTCATCATAATAAACTGCCGGGCAAAATAAAGTATACTCTCAAGTTTGATGGTGGCTAATAATGAAGCAATTCGATGGTAATGTATTTGATAAGGGTATCATAAGAGTTTATGAGGTTATAAGAACAGACGTTAGAACAGAGTGAGTGAGTGAGTATGGTTTTACGCAGCTTTTAGCAATATTCCAGCAATATCACGACGGGGGACACCAGAAATGCGCTTCACATATTGTACCCATGTCGGGAATCGAACACGGCGTGACGAGCGAACGCTTTAACCACTAGGCTACCCGACCGCCCCCGTAAGAACAGAGAACACCGAGATCCACCATGTTCCCGCCATAATCTGTAGTGTTTACAAACATGTAGTTTGAACACCCAGAAGTTGTTTTTTTTAAAATAAAAGACAATTACAAATACTAACACTAATGTAAAACATGATACACACCTTCAATTCTAGGGCACATCTCTCGGTGACCTTCAAGGCCATTCTGAAGGTCAAATGTATACCTTAGCCATGTATCCCAGAAGCCATTGGGAAACTTCAGCTCTCGTTCGTAACACTTGAATCGAGCCTCGTAAGTCCTGTGTAAAGTGAGCGAGATTGGTTGAGGATGTTTTCGTAATGTTCTAGCAATAATACGTCGAGAACATAAAAGAATGGGCTTGACAGATATGAACCATGTTACGAAGCGAACCAAGGTATGAATATCGTTCTCGCTCATAAAACGTGCTTTTCGGCAAACTGATGTGACGAGTGTAAATTCGTCCGAGAATTAAAAAAAGGGCGTAAAAAGGCAAATAATTAATGAAAATTACCTGAATGGATCACTAACCACGTGCTGCAAGAAGGGTAAACATGTCCTGCTCGACTGTTAGTAACCACAAAAGTTTCATTCAAAGTAAGTGCCAGTAAGGAGGTGTTAAATCTCCACGTGAAGGTCATGGTATGGAATACATCGTCACGCATCACGTTGCCAACGTCCATACTCCTACACATCATCTGTTAGTATCAGGAATTATCTGTGAAGAATGGTAAACCAATTACTTACTGGCAGTCGACTCTCATCCCCCTTATAACTCCCTCACGGAGAGTCTTGGGCGCGGCGCCGTCCAGTTTAGCCAGTTTAGCGGACTCCTTTGCACACCGCATCGTGATTGGATCCTTGTTGATCGTGATCGTGATTCTAAACAAACAATAGACAAACAGACTAACGTTTGTTTAATATGCATAAATAATGAATGTGTCTGAATTAATCATTAACTAATATAATACGATTTTTTATCATGAAGCATCTTAACACAATGGGACGACCCTAAAAAAAACCCAAAACAATGGTGACGAACTTTTTTCTACAAAGTGTAAAATATTGTTTTCTTTTTGGTGTCAGTGAGTAGTCTTTTATGTACTCAATAATCGAGGAAAATCGAGCATGGTATTTTAACATACAAAGGCACTATATTTTACGAACATGTATAATTCTTACGAAGGTTTGGCAACTGTTTTCACGATGCACTTCCGGGCAGTGAAGAGTGCGTAGTAACTCAGTAGGACCTGCTTCACATCCGGTTCACAAGAATGCAAGGTCTTGTCCAAACACCGCGTTGTCTCGCGAGTCAAGCTGGAAACGTGGAGAAAAGGATTCACGGCATTCAGTACCTGACAGTTTCGTAATTTCAGTTTCCAAATAAGTGTCGAGAGTTTGAACGTAACACCAATACCAAACGTGAGGTTTTACGTCATAAATCTATCAAATATTTCTTTGATAAGGATGATAGTGTTGAAAAGTACTAACGTGTACTTGATTGCATACAATAATAAAATAATAATAAGAAGAAGAATCATGTCAGACAATAGATCCCACCAGTCTCGCTCTGCCCTCAATGTAGGTTATGCAATTAATTTAATGAAACTGTCCAATACATTGTCTGTGGATGCCAAGCTTTGGCACAAACACAGGATCTTAAGTGACATGATGGAGTGGCTCGAACATCTTATTACCGTCTTCGCTTGTGGTTTTGACACACAGGTCCATCCATGGTACGACCCAAAATATGGAGAGGGCGTCAGTGAAAATGATATATGCAAAATTCTTTGGAATAGTCCCGTTTTCGGCCTCAGACCTAGAAAGGCCAACAAATCCGACCTTGTCATTTTTTATAAATCCAATGAAATCATTTATAGTGATGAATTTTCTGTTCCTTTTGACACGAATGCGATTGACAAGATTCAGAAAAAAACATTGCAAATATTAGGACCTCGCTTTCGAAATGTCACGCTTGCATCCCAAGTTCCAAGTTGTCCGACACCACATTGTTCTCGGTGCCTTAGGCTTGGTACTTCCCAATCTGTTGTCTGACAGGAATACAGCCCTTCTGACAATCTTGGTAATGCAGAAGGCTGCAGTGTTGGGGAGTCTTGCATTCTCCGAAAGGTTCTGGGTAGGTTCGACAAGAGATCGCTTCCTGTGAGAAGTCCGCTGTCTGGCCTGCGTGTAGAGTGGACATGGGCCCTGAGCTGATGATGTGCCAGCCTGACTGTGCCAGGATCACCCAAGCCCTCTTTGCTCCATTTTTTAAAAAAAATCTGTACATAATAACAATAATAATGCAAGCTGTTTTGTGGCGTGCGGAGCTGGAGGGGAATATTTAGACTCAAAGATTTAATGAAAAAACACCTGCAAATGTAACAGAAGAAAAATAACTACTCCCCAAAAAACTTCTGACCCTTCCAAAAAAAATATGATATGGTTGGTCCCCTAGAAAGTTTGTAGTTTTTCCACGATGTGTGCTCCATAACACTTAACGATCTTTGACCGAACTGTTTCAGCTTGGGACAGACACAATGTTCTGTTATTTTAGTTCTGTGGCTGTGGACAGATTTGAAAGTAGAGAGATGGCAGTGGAAGGCGATGATGACATTTGGAGTCTTAAACTGGACCCTGACATTTTCTGACACCCCGTGCAGATTCTTGAGCGTTGGTGAAATGTGTCCATGTGGATGTTCTGGTAGTTATTCTAGCGGCCGTGTTTTGGATTGTCTGGACAATCGTCAGAGAATCTTGTTTAATGCCATAAAGGAGACTGTTTCGAGGACTGATCCTTGAAAGAACTAGGCCTTGGATCAAAGTCTTAGCTGCATTTGATGTTATTACGAATTGTTTACGAATGTTTCCAATGGAGCGTAGGTGGAAAAGGCGTATACTGGTCTTGGTAATTATTCCTATCACATGGTATGCATATATAAGCAGAAGGTTATGTCTCTACCGTCTACGTTAATAATTACACATAATGCAATCGTAACTTACTCGCAACCCAGGGGTCTCAGTGCCGCTCGAGATACGCCATTCCCGTACGCTGCGTACATGTGACGTAGTGATACGCTGAACCGTCGTGTGCAACGTCCCGCATCGGTCTGGCTGCTGTTGATGGCGCATAAGATGCGACCAGCTAATACTGAGGGATTAACAAAAATAATAATGATAATAATAATCATCATCATCATCATCTAGATGAGATTGTTTCATATCAATACAGACACTGATAAAAGGCACCAACAATCACGCTATATTACTAACTCACTTACACCTTCTACACAAGACTCTATTTAAAGCGTACGTATCATCATCATTGCCCAAACTAAGATCCAATGCATTGTTCTTGATCACCCGACCCGTGAAGATCCGGGGTAGAATAGGTCTTCAGCAACCCATGCTTGCCGTAAAAGGTGACTATGCTTGTCGTAAAAGGCGACTAACGGGATCGGGTGGACAGGCTCGCTGACTTGATGCATGTCATCGATTCCAATTGCGTGGATTGATGCTCATGATATTAATCACTGGATTGTCTGGTCCAGACTCGATTTTTTTACAGACCGCCGTCATATGGCTGGAATATTGCTGAGCGCTGCGTTAAACAACAAACCAACAACAATCTTGATCACCCCTCGTGAAGGGGGAAAGGAGATATTTTCACGAGTGGCGTATATCGCCTTTTCCCTGATATTACATTCGTCACAGGGGATATCCTTTCTTTCCTTTGCAAATATGTTTGAAGATGACTTTTACAGAAAGGATACCAACTCATGTTTGATTTCCATTCTATACCACTGAGGGTTGTTTAAATCACGAAGATAGTATTCGTGTTTCTTATTTAAAATTACAACAAGTAGATATATAATATTATTTTTATTTTATGGACCTCACCTGGAAGTTCGCGGCAAATGTCTTTGCTCCTTTTCTTCAAGGTCGAAGGGTTGAAGTTCAAAGCGATGAAGAAGTCAAGAGGGTTCTTTGCAGCCTGTCGAGGGATCCCCTTAGCCAGACACGGTATGATCTTCTTGTAACCCCTAGTAAACCACTCATTTTGTCATTTAAGGTTTTCTCAAACAAATCATCATTAAGTCTGAGAAAATATACCATGTAGAAAGTGTACGCACTGCCCAAAACTGATGAGAGGATTTCTGTGGGATTGGAATTAATTGACAATTTGACGGAATGTTAGTTCCGAGATAAATGGATGTTAGTAGCATGTCAAACATGTTGCCAGGTAGTAGTATAATGCACTTACTGCTTTAAGGCCGCATCAATGTCATTATCCTAAGTGTGGTCGTGGTTCGAACCCTAGGTTCGCCCTGACTATGAGCATTGCTTTGTCAGCACCTTTTTTTCTTTTTTTTTGCCAAAGTTGTAACTCTTGTAGGACCTGCATCACTTCGGATGTTCTACTGGCACTGAGCTGATATTACTGAAACTCACTCACTCGCCGTTTTTCTCTTATTTGCGAGATATTTCCCCCAAAATAGCTTCATGATTTCCGCTTGAATTTAATTTGACGATGACTTCATTAATCGGTGCTAATCACGTTAGTGCATCTTTTTCCTTGGATATTACACATGGTCGCCCTGACTGACATATCGTCATGTGTAGAAATACGTAAACAAGAAATAACCTCAGTAAAATCCCTAAGGAATCATGCTGTATCTCGACACATACACTATACAAACATCAACTCATCGGAGCATGTGTATAGCGTCTATTGACTTAGGAGGTAATTTAGTCCCGTTACATTAAGCCTATTGAACATGTTCGTACTGTAAAGATCAATGTCTGCCATTTTCTGATTATTCCGTGGCGTCATATATTATCCCACGCGATCATATCTTACAACTGCAAAAAAGGTAATAAAGTGCATTGGGTATTATATTTACAAACTAAAGAACTTACGTGTCCGCCTCACGCTAACGTGACATGAGTGCCACGGTGAAGGAGGTTTACACTGGGAGCCGTGGTCATTAAAGTGGCAGAGAGTTTACAGCCGAGTACGTCACTGCATGTTTGTGTTGAACGCTATTGTTGGTGTTGCTCATCTGTGTGTCATTGTTGTAAATACCGACAATAAAACTACGCTAATATCCAGTATACATTAAACAATACGCAATCAAATGACCTCATCACGAGTCAACACCTTCCTGGTTTAAAAGCATGAACCTGTCATCACTTTTTTTAAATATTAAAACGTTGAAACGCTGCATTAAATCTCATTTCGTGATGAAGAACAATAAAAAGTGTTGATACTAGATCTAGTAACAAGTGGGTATCATCTCTTTCTGTGTTTGTAATATCAATGAGAAAAATTGTTTGACTTGTATTTGACACCAGTAAGCACAAATTCTTGTGGGTTAATAACAACCGCGTTGCTATCCAGCTATCATAAGTAGGCTCACACATCGGCTTTCAGACAGTGGGTCTCACCTCAATGGCTACTACAATGAAGTATGGGTTACGCTTGTTTTGATTGTCAGTATTTGTCACATGTTTGTGACATGTGACAAATATAACATAAGATGACACTTTTGTCTTGTTTGTCTCATTTGATCCCCCGGATAATATTTCACAGGGTGCAGTAAAGAGAGAGCACCTTTTTTCTTAGGAATAAAACCCGAGGGATTTCTAGTACCTTAGTTGGACGGGAAGACCCCTAACAGATCCAGTCTACGTGTAGACGTTCTATTAATCATGGCCTGTGAGAATTTGAGGCATTGTCTGTGTCTTATACCACATACAACTGCTGGAATGATATACCCCATTAAATATTTAAGCAGCATTCAACCAAAGATAGTGTGGATTAACTTCACCAACTATGAAAAGACTGCCAATTGATCAATGTTTTGTCTGTACAAAGGAGCAGCCTGGTGACGTTATCGGCGTTCACGGGTATATTTTATTATCACCAGTTGACATTTACCATTTGTATTTCTTCTTTAAACAACGCTTTGATCTTTACAACACATCCATAGTCCGTAAGAAAATCGATTACGTAAATACACTTCATGTGATCTAGGTATAGTTAAATTGTCGTAATGAATGTCAATTAGAAGGCTGTATATATTTTGCAAACATCATTGATATCCTGGGATAGAGAAGATCACTCTGTTTACAACGGACTTGTCCATATGAATATCATCACAAGACAACAGAATCAATACCAATACTCCATTTATCGAACCCCGAACATTCTCGGACCATGCATCACGTGAAATACACGACCAACGTCACTGAGTAATCAAATAAGTTAATAAAGTAGACACAATTTATGGACAACAACTTCTTTTATAAACTATTATAGCGACAAGCAACCGTTGCGGTATGAGGCTGCATACTGGAACATCGCTATGATAGTATGTTAAAGAAGTTGTTATCCATAAACTGTTTTCACTTTGTCAACCGTCAGAAATACCTATCAAACAACAAATAGGTTGGTTATGTGCAGATAAAAGTCGTGTTTACATCGTAGCGTTTCTGAACAATCGATAATCTGAATAATTATTGTTTTGGGGAACATTGACTTGGAAGCTGTGACTCAACTTTGCATATATACAACTTATATGATTATTAATTATTAATAATAATTATCCAATGTTGTCTGTGATTGAAACAATAATAAAGCAAATATTGTCTTTGACGGAAATTATTATTCTACAAACAGTGTGTGTGACGGTATCAAACAATATTGATTACCAAACATTTGTAGATTGACAAAACACTTATGCAAACATTCTGTTTGACGAAACAACACCCATAGATGTGTGCGTGGTGGTGGTATTGAGAAAATAAGTTGTTGTAAAAAATAAAGGAACAAATAATTTATCCTCCGTTATCATACCTTAAAATAAATTATTCCATATGCTGGATGGCCTGAAAAACTTTCTTAAATATAATGTAGTATTTCGGATAATCCGTTCACAGAACCTCTACATACGGTACATCCATTTAAAAGGGTTAGCTCACTCACGTACCTGCTTAAGACACACATCCCCCCCAAACCCACCCAGCCCCACCCCACCCACCACCCCCACCCCCACCCCCACCCCAGTGAAGATCCGGGGTAGAATAGGTAGAATAGGACTATGCTTGTCGTAAGAGGCGACTAACGGAATCGGATGGTCAGGCTCGCTGACTTAGTTGATGCATGTTATCGTATCCAAATTGCGTAGATTGATGCTCATGATGTCAATCACTGGATTGTCTGGTCCAGACCCAATTATTTACAGACAGTCGTCATATAGCTGGAATATTGCTGAGTGCGGCGTTTAACAAAAAAACACATAAGACAAACATAGTAAACTCAACCTAATCTTATAGATATACATATGTTTAAACACTTTCATATACTGGTGAAGATATCTTAGCTCACCTGCACCATGAGATCAAGATGGCGACAATGGTGGACTCGTCAGCAGTACTGTTCCCAGCTGCTTCTGCTAAACACCTGGACCAGGCTGGCATCCGTTCCACGGGTGGGGCATCGGTGACGGTGTGGTTGGCAGTATCTGTGATGTTGCTGACGTCAGTAATGGCGTCAGTAATATTACTGGCGTCAGTAATGAAGTCGGTGGTCACAGGGGTGACAGCGGTGGTAGCGATGGGGATAGCGCTGACGTCGGTGGTACTTGAGACAGGAGTGACGACAGTCGTCACAGATAGAACGTCGACAGAACAAAGTGATAACACTGTGGCGACGACGACGACGACGGTAACTGGTGGATATATTATATATTCATTATGTCAATATTAATGAACGTAGTCGATAAGTGAACAATTTTAAGGGGATCAATATTTGAACTAAACTACCGGACAAAAGAAAGTTTACACTTGAAACTTGACCAAAAAATTACAAACGTTATCAAAACGTTACTAGGCTGAAAACAGTACCGACATACTATAAATTTGAGGTACAAGATACAACTATGATACCCATATCAAATGCATCACTATTAATAAACCATTACGTGTTTGTTTCATTTTAGCTACTATTTAAACATGGACGTATAATTTCTTTTGGCCGGCAGTTTACTTGTATGGAAAGACTACACACGGTTTGGTTATTCCGTATGCGAGGGCAGTGGCATGATTTGATCTTTTTATCAGTTTGACATGGACATACGTTTTAAATAATTTTAAATAGATATTCAAACATCTAATTCTATCATAGTGTTGCACGATACGATACGAACGAAAATCAAGGCCAGCGTGCCGTTGTAAAAAGCGATCTTAGCGCTAAGGTGATCGTAAGTCCGATACCTTATATAGACTCAAGACAGTCGTAGCGCTAAGGTTGTTTTGTACAACGGCACCCTGTTCGTTTGAAGTAAGTGACATGTCATATAATGCCACAAATAAGGTATATCAGCTGAGAATTAAAAGCGACAAATCATTTCCTTAATCATAAGAAATCTCTGCTGAGCGCAAAGTATCGGACTATATATTATACGATACTCTTTATGACGGCAAATGTAGGCCAACGTCCCATGTTTACATTTGATTATAAATCTCTGCTGAGCGCAAAGTATCGGACTATATACTATACTATACTCTTTATGACGGCAAATGTAGGCCAACGTCCCATGTTTACATTTGATTATAAATCTCTGCTGAGCGCAAAGTATCGGACTATATACTATACTATACTCTTTATGGCGGCAAATGTAGGCCAACGTCCCATGTTTACATTTGATTGTAAATCTCTGCTGAGCGCAAAGTATCGGACTATATACTATACTATACTCTTTATGACGGCAAATGTAGGCATACGGCCCATTTGATTACATGACGTGTAGAATACAAGTAACCTCAACATATTTATATAAAATAGTTGATAAGATAAAACATTTAATTCATGACATTATATTCTCAGAATTATTTTATATAGGAGCATCGCATGATAAAGGTACATAGCTAGATTTTGAATACACGTACCGCTTCTTGCGGCCATTAGAAGATAAAATTTATTCTCATCAGGATAAAGGCTATAGGCTTCTTGTATATATTTTGTACGTATATGTTTGTACGCAGAGTAACTAATAGGAAGTGATCTTCATCCTCAAGATGTCCATAAACTTATGAACAGGATTGGCATAGCATGCTCTAAAACGGAACCAAATCATCATCATATTTATTGTTTTAAGTTACTTTTGGAACGGAGCTGTACCTCAAATGTATATCTATCAAGAAATTCAAAGGGGCCCTAGCACAATTTCGATGTTTTGTCACATCAACTTCATTTTGAAATTCGTAGATATGTTAATATACCGCAAAGTGATCGACTATGTTCAAGTTCAAGTTCAAGAGGTTTTATTGTACTTAAGGCCTCCGGCCAATATACAAAACAAGAGTACAAAGCGATAATAACCGTGAGTACAACTGCTGCATACAATACATATGTGGAGACAATGTTACAAAGTGAATGTACACAGTTATTTTACGAAGTGACTCCACGATACTATAAGATTCTTGCGCCGAGACAGTGCATGATGAACAAAAAGTGCTAACCTTAGAATTGTTTTTCTATCATTGGAATTCAACAGAGATTTACATGAATACAAATTTGATAAACGCAGGTATTTCTGTGGAATATATGCTTCCCTTAAATCAGTATAAACAGTACAAACAAGCAGTATATGAAGTTCATCCTCTATACAAGTTTGACAGAAAGGACACAATCTCATTTGCTTCGGGACAGAACGATGTGAATGTTGCAATTATGGATATATTGAGGAATATTGTAGGCGTGACATGAATTCAGATAAGAAAGATTTTGGAGGGTGAATATACTGGTGTAATCCGAAACCAAAGCTAAACATGATATATTCACATTTCGAAACCCAGTTGTGTTTGCCTTTATAGATGCCTGTGATATCAGCCGCACTCTTCACGCACGATGTGGTAAGGGGTAATCATCTAACACCAAGAAAGGGCTTACACGCCAAAATATGTACAGTTTCCATTTTATCCTTTTGATACAACCCCAATACCTCCCGGGCTATATCATAAGTTTAAGTAGCATTGTGGCAGTGGACTGAGACGCTTGTAAAATATCGAGCTTTTCATTGTTGTTGCTTGGTTTTGTTCTTTTGCCGGCCCACGGCAGCTCTTTAATTGGAGTGACCTCCCTTAGTTGGGCACAGTCCAAATTTCGTACCCGCGCTTGACACCATCGTCACACTCCTGGTATCGAGAGCTCCGCTGTGAGGAGCTGGTTAAAATGCGTGTTTACTCTGTGCTTTGTTTCTAAACGTTCTGCTGAACCTATGTAATTACGAGACAAGGGTGATTCGATCTTAGCTTCTACTTCTTGACTTGTGACTTATCTACTTGCGCAGGAAGGACGTGATACCTACCTAACTTTTGTGCCTGCTTCCAACACTGGTCCCCGGATTCAAGTGAGTAGGTGAGTGACTTGTGTTTAACGCCGCTTTTAACAGTATTACAGTTATATCGCGGCGTGTCAGCTTAACGTGAGAGGAAAGCCCGAAGTGATGCAGGTCTCAGACGTTTACCACTTCGGTGAAACCCATGAGCACGGACATGGTGCTGACAAACCTAGAAACATAATCGGGGCGAACCGGGATTCGAACCCACAATTATAGGTTTCTGGCGTGCCCAAGGGACGCAACTCTGCACAGCGAATCGCGGCGCCTTTGCAACTTGGCCCCCTCCTGGATTCAAGAAGAGCACGCACGTCCCTCATTTAAGACAATCTACTGTGACTAATACTGGACTAATGTAATAGGGCTAATTATTTCTTGATGCTGTCCAATATTTGTATTGCCTTCTTTGTAAACATAACCCCGTGTGCTTCAATATAATTTGTTAATTCATCATTAATCTTGTGTGATTATTTACTGATGTCACAATCAAGTTCTCTACGAAAAGATGTCGTGGTTAACATTTGCATTTCAACTTGGGAACAAACTCGAAACAGTCCCTAATAAATATTCATACCGGGTGTTCGCGAAGAGGTGCCTGTCACAAACACATGCAAAGGTAAGTCAATTGTTCACCTGAAAACAACACGGGGAGATATGGTACAAGTCAAATTCGGGAATGCACCAAACATTATGTTGATGCTTTAAATTTGGAAATGTCGCCCACCATAGAATTTGTTGAAAGCTTTACTGAGGCATTGAATGTTTTAACCCAGATTCAACAACTTTTGAGCGAGAGTAGTATGTGGCTCTTCGAGAAGGATACAATGTATCTCAAGGTTGTGAAATGTAGACACCAAAGGCTAGAGCTGCTGCACTACTGATGGATATAATCTCATTAAAATCAGACCTCAGTTCTCGCTACCGCTAAACAAAGATCTGAGGACATCCCATTAGGGGTCACGTCAGAACGACCTTTCATCCGACCAATCAGAGCATCGCTTACCAGATTGTGAAAGTGACATGCAACCTCGAAAACTTTAACTCCGAACGCTAGTTACGGGTTTAACGACTGAATCCATACAATATAGACCATCTATTAGCCATCCCAGAATGTTCTTTTGTTCAGGTTTCAAATTTGTAATCGAGAATTTGTCAAAATATGTTTCGAAGCGTAGTCGCCAATTTGAAATTAGTGCTGTAAAACACGAGAAAACTGCCTTCTGATTGGTTATTCCATTGGTCGGTCAAAGTTCGCGCAAGGTCGGTCTGACGTGGCCCGTAATGGGATGTCCTCAGATCTTTGTTTAGCGGTAGCGCGAACTAAGATCTGATTTTAATGAGATTGCCGATGGATATAAAGGGGAACCTGACTACCGGAAAGTTGAAGCCATCCTTCTTGTCATACAGTCTTGTCATACAGTCTTGTCGGTAGTGTTTTTTTATGCAGTTGCACTGGGCGCTTTCATTTCTTGCCCAAGTGGGTAAATAAGTGCGAACTGGCAATGTGACCATTATTGAACGATATCCGATTATCGATCTACCTGAAGCTGGTGATTTCTTATATTTTTGGAAAGTGCTTTATCTTAATACGAGAACAATTTAATGTCGTACCAAGTGGGAGGAAGGCCCAAAGTGATGCAGGTCTTAGACGTGAAACCACCTAGCACAGACATGGTGCTGACAAACCAAGACGGATACAACTGGGATAACTGATACAAACCCACAATCATAGCTGAAGGTTTCTGGAACGCCTAAGGGACGCAACTCTGCAAAGCGAATTCCGGCACCTTGGACGACCCAAATTGAAAAAAGTAAACGATTGAATAATTCAGAAGAATCCATAAAATATTTTATGGTCTCTGATTTCAGTGGACATCACGTCACCTACCTTTCTCCATGGCCTGATATGGTCCAATAAAGCTGTCCTAAGGACAACGAATTTATATATCCCCGGACAAAGTATCCCAAATCAGTCAAGTCAGATATTACATCGTATGTTCCATGCCCCCTGTAACAGCTGTTCCTCCCAGTGTAGGCTTCGTGTGGCTTAAACTGGTGGTGACACACCGCAGCGTGCCCCGAGGCTTGGTTCCGATAGGTGGCAGTTTGACATGCGGGATGAGTAATTAAATGTTATTTAAATTAATGTCTTTTAATATAACACTTTTTTGTGCTGTCGCTGTCCCACAATAGGACAAGCACATCACGGACTTCGTGTTCACTTCGTAAGGATAAACAGGATTTTTTAAAGAGTTTTATCGAATGTTCATGTTGTGTGATGATTAATTTTAAATCATCAGTTATAATTCAAGAACCAGTTGCAGAATATTATCAAATAGTCTCCACTATATATGTGCATTAATCTTAAGCTTCAATCCAATGGTAAACCCCATGTCACTTAACCTCATCTAATGAATCATGGGGTTAGAAAACACGCCTTAAATGTGCCTGTTCTCTCGTGTTAAGTAGATCGCTCCGTCAGAAGGTGACGCCAGTGAACTGTTCTCGAGTGTGTCAAGTAGATCGCTTTGCCAGAAGGGGACACCAGTGAACTGTTGTCTGGTGTCAAGTAGATCGCTCTGTCAGAAGGTGACGCCAGTGCGCTGTTGTTGTGTGTGTCAAGTTGATCGCTCTGTCAGAAGGTGACAACAGTGAACTGTTGTCGAGTGTGTCAAGTAGATCGCTCTGTCAGAAGGTGACAACAGTGATCTGTTGTCGAGTGTGTCAAGTAGATCGGTCTGTCAGAAGGTGACAACAGTGCGCTGTTGTCGAGTGTGTCAAGTAGATCGGTCTGTCAGAAGGTGACAACAGTGATCTGTTGTCGAGTGTGTCAAGTAGATCGGTCTGTCAGAAGGTGACAACAGTGCGCTGTTGTCGAGTGTGTCAAGTAGATCGGTCTGTCAGAAGGTGACAACAGTGATCTGTTGTCGAGTGTGCCAAGTAGATCGCTCTGTCAGAGGGTGACAACAGTGATCTGTTGTCTAGTGTCAAGTAGATCGCTTTGCCAGAAGGTGACAGCATTGCGTGTCAAGTAGATCCCTCTGTCAGAAGGTGACAACAGTGAGCTGTTGTCTAGTGTCAAGTAGATCGCTCTGTCAGAAGGTGACAACAGTGATCTGTTGTCTAGTGTCAAGTAGATCGCTTTGCCAGAAGGTGACAGCATTGCGTGTCAAGTAGATCCCTCTGTCAGAAGGTGACACCAGTGCGCTGTTGTCTGGTGTCAAGTAGATCGCTTTGCCAGAAGGTGACAGCGTTGCGCTGTTGTTGAGTGTGTCAAGTAGATCGATCTGTCGTACAGTTTACTTGCTATATTCTTTAGAGCTAGACTGACGTAATATAAAGGTGGGCCCTGCAGAATGATTACACCACCACCACGTGTAACGTATCAGTCGACTGGCCGAGAGTTAACATGAGTGACCTGGCTGATTGTATGTCATAATACCCCAACGACGTGAATCGATAGTCTTGCTATATTGAGACTCCCTAATTTACTGGGTGCTGTAATATCATCAAACAAAAAGGATGGTTGGGTAGCTGGTTAAGCGTTGGCTCGTCACACCGAAGGCTCGGTGTGTCAAGTAGATCGATCTGTCGTACAGTTTACTTGCTATATTCTTTAGAGCTAGACTGACGTAATATAAAGGTGGGCCCTGCAGAATGATTACACCACCACCACGTGTAACGTATCAGTCGACTGGCCGAGAGTTAACATGAGTGACCTGGCTGATTGTATGTCATAATACCCCAACGACGTGAATCGATAGTCTTGCTATATTGAGACTCCCTAATTTACTGGGTGCTGTAATATCATCAAACAAAAAGGATGGTTGGGTAGCTGGTTAAGCGTTGGCTCGTCACACCGAAGGCTCGGGTTCGATTCCCACATGGATGCAATGTGTGTAGCCCAATTCTGGTGTCCCCCGCCGTGATATTGCTGGAGATTTTGCTAAGAGGAGCTTAAAACTAGTCTCACTCACTTAAAGAACGTTTATTAAATTGATCAATTATTCGCTCCAAGCTTGCTCCCCTCGACCAATATGCAATATTCTAAATAAGCGCGGTGAATGCTTTTTTGTGAAAAGAGATGGGCGTTTTTATTATTTGGCAAATCGTGTTCTGTAATCGTGTAATTTAGTTGAAAATGTATCAACAAATGAGACGGTCACTGTATTGGTGTAAGTTTAGTGTACCCGATCACGTATAAACTCTCCGAAATTAATTGATGTTTAGTTTGGTGCACAAAGCGATGCGTGTGGTCACCCTACTGGATTCGTGTGAACTAAAATGGCTTATTCCACTTTCACGTACTGTTCACCCAAACACATTGCGTTTATGTTGTGATCTGTGTTCTTCCGATAGTAATGGTAAAGGTAGAAACTCATATTTCACTATATTCAGTGCTTCGCATTCTCGAACCTTGAAACCACGAGGCCGTTTACCCCAAGATCATGTTGAGTCAAATCAGTGATAGAAGCAGTCATAAAATATCATAACAAGTTGGATTCTGTTGGCGAGAAGGGTAATTAGGAGTGAGTGAGTGAGTATATTTGACGCCGCTTTTAGCAATATTCCAGCAGTATCATGGCGGTGGACAACAGAAATGGGCTTCACACATTGTACCCATGGAAATCGCTCGGGAATCGAACCCGGGTCTTCAACCACTTTAACCACTAGGCTACCCGACCGCTCATGGGTAATTAGGAAACAATGTAATTTAAATATACATTTTTGTCATGTTAAGTTATATATTTCCGGTTTCGCTGTACACATTGTTTTTACTGCCCTATGCTGAATAATTGAGACTTTGATTTTATATAATTAGGGTAATGTTTAACTGCCAGATTGAAACATATGATAGAATTTCAGTTATAAGACACCAATCTGTTCGAACATGCAAAATCAAAATTCTGCCAGGCATAGCCCTCATTGTCATCATCATCATCATCATCATCATCATCATCATCATAGTAATAGTATGAAGAGGAAGGAGTTTCATGTTTAAACAGGTTGGAATAACTAGTACATCTAAACCTAGACTTCAAACAGGTAAAAAAACAACATTGAGCATTGTACTACCTAAGCCAAATACAACGATCACCGCATATAAATAAACAAATAATCGAAAATAAGACATGTATCATCACGACCTCATTTGAATATTTCAGAAACACGTATTTTAGCATTTATCTTAACATCTGCAACCATTGCCTTGTACAATCTGCATCCAGATGAAAGGCTTCATAGTACATACTTTGTAACGTTGACCTGGGATGAGAGAGCAGTAGGTAAATCTTGACGTCCATGCCAACCTCATGCACACACATGACCTCCCATGGGGATCCTGGCTAATACCTCAGCAGTATTTGAGTGTTTGGAGTAGACACGACGGAGCGACGTGGGCAGATGTAAACGGAAGCGTGCATTAAAAATATAACTGTTCAGCTTCTACTAGTTTTGTTTCCTTGCAGTTTAACGTTAGAATTTGGATTATATGCATTCCTTACAAAACTGGCATATTAAGTTTCTCATCACTTGATGTAAGTTTAGGTTAAAGGATTACACATTATTCTTATATTTGATAAGACAAGCAGCAGTACAATTTTAGGATTAGGCCTTGTGTTTAGATTAATTGGTTGGCAATTATTTTAACACAAAAGGGTCGAATACAGTAGTCACATAAATTATGATTTCTCAAAAGTATTATCAATAGGTTGAAATAATTAAAGACAAAGCATGTGAAAGGGGGAAACGATTCAATGACTAGTTAAAGTATTACTTTCCTCTCCTACCTTAACCTACTTTAAAGGTTTCTATTTCGATAAAAACAAAACAATATCAGACCCGAAAAGTGGGCCGATCCGTAAATCTGGTAATGAAGAAAAAATAAAAGACTGTATGAAGTCCAACATAGTTAATGAAACAAAGGGGCTATCAATTTTAAAAATACAATGATCAAAAGGGTGATTTCAAATAACGTCATACAACTCTTGCACAAAAGTGGTTTGATCAGTGTTACAGCATCATCCAAGGTCATGCATAGTGAAGCTTTCAAAAGATTTGATGGTAGCGACTAGAGGGTTTGAGGTATCAGTGACCAAACCAATGTCCCGATTCAATGCAATTCCCAATTTTGACTTGTACCATATGTTCCATGTTTCTGTAGGAGACATGGCCCTTGCATGTGTGTGACTGAGATTCGTTCATATTAGTCCCCGACCATTTGATGATGATGATGAGTATGTGCGTGCAGGCGTGCGTGTGTCTTTGCATGTGTTTGTGACGATTGCCACCAGTGGGGCAGGATACGCGCACCTTTTCGCAAACACTTTGATAGTGATTCATAAACACATGCTTATGATATAGTCGGAATTGTACAACCGACTCTGCTATATGCAGAGATTTCTATTGGATATGGAAAGGGTTTTGTCGCTTTATTTACCTGTTATTTTATCCTTCTCTTCCACATGGGCAACGGTAACGGTCCAGTATGATAAAATAAAAACATAAAAAAGTTTCCTTGATATTTGTTTATTGCATAGGATAATGTAAATCTGAGAGAACATGTAAAGTGGGTAAATAAATAATTCATATGATCTGGATGACGAATAATTTACAAATCTAAAATCTAAAAACATACAAGAAATGAAATGCAATTTATGCATGTACAAGCTAATGTTTTCAATACAGAATGATAATGAAGCGGTGTGTAACCTAATATCGTCAGATATATGATTTAATACTGTTAAGCTAAGTACGTTTTCATTGGGATGATGAGTATGTCATATCGATAGCATTATCTTTGATTGGATAGTCACTGTTAAACCTGCATGGACAGGAAATAAAATTTTACTTAAATATTTTTGTCACTTAAAAAAAAGCATTTCAGTGAAAACAACAGCGGTCAACAAAGATTTAATTCAACTTACATTTAGGTTTTGCCGTCGGATGCTAACCCTTAATTGTCCAAAGTATGAAATTAGTTCCACTTGTTGATATGTCGAATTGCAAAATAGTTCTCATGGATTCGTATACCGAAAAGGATTCGTATACCGAAAATCCATCTTGATTTAAAGAGGTAATGAGGCACAGACTGTAAGCACGAAGCTCGAGTATATTACACTATATACATCAATCAGAGACCATTTGGTGTCTGCATCAATTTAATCATCATCTTGCTGTTTTTATTTTTCGTTCTGTTTTTGGATAATACATTCCTTCATTTTAATAAATACCAAAAAATAACATTGAAACATAAACAACGGGTATTTACAAACAAACATGATCTTGGCAACATTGTTCCCAAATCCCACCATCGTCTCACATCGTGTCACGTGACGAGGTGAGAGACTGCTGAGTGATGGTGATGCGCTGCCACGAGTAACAATGGACCCCTTGATGATATGTCTTCCTCAGACACATCATGTTACAGATAAATCTTAAGTAGAGCCCCGATCGGCAACAGCATCATGATTGCAGACACGTGGGATATTTCAGCGCCATTCAATCTTCCGAACATGGCGGAATAACGGGAGGTAACTCCTGTGTTTCTTCGGCACCGATTCGGAAGTCCGGCGAAGAAGAAACTGCGCATGATTTCCCCAGCCTGGCTGTTGCAGAAGGAGTAGACTTGGGTCTCACACTGGTAACGGGCGACAGACACACTGGAAGGAAACACAATGCGCAAATACAATAATTGATATATGTTAAGGCGCGTTCTGACCACAACGTGAACTTTTTGATAATAGAAAATTAACTATAAAAACAACACTTTAAAAACGATACCCAAAAGTACTTATGGTGGGTTATTATGAGTGAGTGAGTGAGTGAGTATGGTTTTACGCCGTTTTTAGCAATATTCCAGCAATATCACGGCGGGAGACACGAGAAATAGGCTTCACACATTGTACCCATGTCGGGAATCGAACCCGGGGCTTTGGCGTGACGAGCGAACGCTTTAACCACTAGGCTACCCGACCGCCCCGGGTTATTATGACAAATACGCATAACCAGAAGCATTAATTGATAGAAGACACTACGAAATTAGAAGTAAACCTACATATTCCGTTTATCATCAATCGGCAACATAGATATCATTTTCTTCTTCCCTCATTCTACAAAAACAGTCAGTTCTCGAGTGAGTGAGTGAGTGAGTGAGTGAATGGCTGAACTGGGTTTTACGCCGCTTTGAACAGTATTCCAAATATATAACGGCGTGTCAGCTTAATGTGGGAGGAAAGCCCAAAGTGATGCAGGTGTCAGACGTGTACCATTTCGGTGAAACCCATAAGCACGAATATGGTGCTGACAAACATAAAAACATAATCGGGATGAACCGGGATTCGAACCCACAATTATGGGTTCCTGGCGTACCCACTCTGCATAGCGAATCGCGACGACTAGGGCATATTAACAACTGGTGATCAACAGGCGGCTCTATGATCGTATATGTGGTACACCATCGCAGGTTGACTGTGGTTGTACCCGTTACTTACTTGCAGGCCACGTTCTCGAGGTCACCCTGGTTGAGACGTCCTTGACGACCGATGTTGACTACCTGGACGACGGACTGACGGAAGTTGTCATAGCAACGCTGCACCTGGGGTGTTGTCAGTAGACATCTGATGTTATCTTCCAGTCCTGGAACATGGGAACAGTACATGTGATGTATGAGGTTCATTGGACGTATGCCAGTCATGAGGGACAGTCTAACGGAGCTTGTTGGTGAATATGTAACAGTTCATCTCAATCTGCATGGGTGTTGAGTCACCCTATAGAAACATCGAGTGCTGTGGTCAGTATACAGAGGGCAAGGGATATATCATGGCGTCAGTACACAGTGGGTAGGGGATATATCATGGTGGTCAGTATACAGTGGGTAAGGGATATATCATGGTGGTCAGTATACAGTGGGTAGGGGATATATCATGGTGGTCAGTATACAGTGGGTAAGGGATATATCATGGTGGTCAGTATACAGAGGGCAGGGGATATATCATGGTGGTCAGTATACAGAGGGCAGAGGATATATCATGGCGTCAGTACACAGTGGGTAGGGGATATATCATGGTGGTAAGTATACAGTGGGTAGGGGATATATCATGGTGGTCAGTATACAGAGGGCAAGGGATATATCATAGTGGTCAGTCCACAGAGGGCAAGGGATATATCATGGTGGTCAGTATACAGAGGGCAAGGGATATATCATGGTGCTCAGTGCACAGAGGGCAAGGGATATATCATGGTGGTCAGTATACAGAGGTAGGGGATATATCATGGTGGTCAGTAAAGAGAGGGCAAGGGATATATCATGATGGTCAGTAAACAGAGGACAGGGAATTCATCATGGTGGTCAGTATACAGAGGGCAAGGGATATATCATCGTGGTCAGTACACTGAGGGCAGGGGATATATCATGGTGGTCAGTATACAGATGGTAGGGGATATATCATAGTGGTCAGTATACAGAGGGCAAGGGATATATCATGGTGGTCAGTGCACAGAGGGCAAGGGATATATCATGGTGGTCAGTATACAGAGGGCAAGGGATATATCATGGTGGTCAGTAAACAGAGGACAGGGGATTCATCATGGTGGTCAGTATACAGAGGGCAAGGGATATATCATGGTGGTCAGTACACTGAGGACAGGGGATATATCATGGTGGTCAGTATACAGAGGGCAGGGGATATACCATGGTGGTCAGTGCACAGAAGGCAAGGGATATATCATGGTGGTCAGTATACAGAGGGCAAGGGATATATCATGGTGGTCAGTATACAGAGGGCAGGGGATAAATCATGGTGGTCAGTATACAGAGGGCAGGAGATATATCATGGTGGTCAGTATACAAAGGGCAAGGGATATATCATGGTGTTCAGTATACCGAGGGCAAGGGATATATCATCGTGGTCAGTATACAGAGGGCAGAGGATATATCATCGTGGTCAGTATACAGAGGGTAGGGGATATATCATGGTGCCAATACACTGAGGACAGGGGATATATCATGGTGGTCAGTATAGAGAGGGCAAGGGATATATCATCGTGGTCAGTATACAGAGGGCAAGGGATATATCATGGTGGTCAGTATACAGAGGGCAGGGGATATATCATCGTGGTCAGTATACAGAGGGCAGAGGATATATCATGGTGCCAGTACACTGAGGGCAGGGGATATATCATGGTGGTCAGTATACAGAGGGTAGGGGATGTATCATGGTGGTAAGTATAGAGGGGGCTAGGGATATATCGTGGGGGTAAATCGTGATTGCCAGTCTACAGAAGGCTAAGGGTGAATCGTGATTGACAGTCTACAGAAGGGTAAGGGTGAATCGTGATTGACAGTCTACAGAAGGGTAAGGGTGAATCGTGATTGACAGTCTACAGAAGGCTAAGGGTGAATCGTGATTGCCAGTCTACAGAAGGTTGAGGGTGAATCGTGGTGGTCAGTCTATAGACGGCTAAGGGTGAATCGTGATTGACAGTCTATAGAAGGCTAAGGTTCAATCGTGATGGTCAGTGTACAGAAGGGATATGCTGTGCATACTCGGTAAATCTCCGCAAAGGCCCCTGTAAGCAGCTCGCATGTCGTCGGCGTTGAAGATCAAGTTGAGGAAGTTGTCATTGGCAACAGTTGAACCTCGGAGGCGGGTCTCAAAACAACGGATGTAACTCTCAAAGTTTCTGAAAGATACACAAGATGTGCCGATTGAGGCTAAGAACGGCATGTTTGTTAGTTGGAGACACGGACATATATCTCTCATTTCCCCGAATATAGCATATTCATCATTATATGGAAAAAAGTTCATATGCTAAGAGGTTACTTCTTTAACGTGTCGGCGGAGTCTTCGTGCTGGCGAAGCGAGCCTTTAGATTATATAATTTTTCTAAAAGAAAGGCGTTGCCTGTCAACTGACTCAAAACTTAACTTTGCTATACGCGCTCAATCGTATTTCAGCATTGCCCTCATTGTGATCCTTGGTTTGTGAGCGCAGTACCCGTGCTCTTGGCTTTCACCAAAATGGTAAAAGTCTGCGGCAGTATTAAACTAACACTAAAAAATGTATTTGATAGGCAGTTTAAAGAGGCTTTAAACCTAACTCACTACGATTCAAACTTCAAGCTAATTATTTGTCGAAATCTCATGATATGACATCATTAGGCAACACGATTGTTTAGTCTCACTGGCAGATGGCTCTGAAGGCATTCAAGGTGGCTGTCTGTGCGTTGTTCCTGGTTCGGGCCTGTCGTCTACCGTTGGCCTGTGTGGTGCCAAAGTTATTTTGGTTTGCCCGGACCTGCTCCGTTAGACACTGCTGGGCCACCGATTGTTGCTGGGCCGACGCCAGGTAACACTGGACGCCCACTGCAAGTGAGACAAACGTAGGTAAAGGTAACACTCGACGCCTATTTTAGAATTTAATTACGATTGCGTTTTTTTAAAAATCAACGCGTGTGCCAACACTCCCAATCGTCGAACAATAAAAGAGTCAAAGGTGCGGATGAAAGATGTTTATATTTGTATTTATCATGATCGTACCAATGTACTATTCCTGGTAGTAGTAGTAGTAGTAGTAGCAGTAGTAGTAGTAGTAGCAGTAGTAATAGTAGTAGTAGTAGTACTAGTAGTAGTAGTAGCAGCAGCAGCAGTAGTGGCAGCAGCAGCAGCAGCAGCAGCAGTAGTAGTAGTAGTAGAAGGAGTAGTAGTTTGTTTGTTTGTTGTTTAACGCCGCACTTAGCAATATTCCAGCTATATACGGCGGTCTGTAAACGATAAAATCTGGACCAGTCAATCCAGTGATTGACATCATGAGTATCGATCTGCGCAATTGGGATACGATGACATGCATCAACCAAGTCAGCGAGCCTGACCATCCGATCCTGTTAGTCGCCTCTTACGACAAGCATGGGTTGCTGAAGACCAATTCTTCAAATGACCAGTAGCAGCGGCAGCAGCAGCAACAGTAGTGGTAGTAGTAGCAGTAGTAGTAGTAGTAGTAGTAGTCGTCGTTGCAGCAGCACCAGTTGTTACAGTAGTAGTTGTTGTAGAAGAAGTAGTAGTAGTAGTAGTAGTCGTTGTTATTGTAGTGGCACCATTAATTGTACTAGTTATATTAGTATTAGAAGCAGCAGCAGCAGTAATAGCAGTTGTAGTAGCCGTAGCCGTAGAGAGGTAGAATTGGTCACGGTTAAGTTAGTAGTATATGTGTGAGTGTACTTAACAAACGTTGTAGAGCTGTAGTATACGTGTCTATCTACATTACCACTGCTGTACAGTTGTTTGTGCGTAGGTGTACATGTGAAGAGATGCGAAGACAGTAGCACCTCTGACTGTATGTAATAGTAGCGATAAACATAGCTGCACATGTGTATACATGTACATCATAGCATACACAGCAATGCGCATTCCAGGACCAGGTGAGGTGAAATGGGGTTTAACGTCGCGTCCAAGAATATTGCACTTATATAGCGACGTGAATGCACGTGTGTATGTGTGTGTGTGTGCGTGTGTGGCTGCTTGCACTAGTCCGGACAAAAGCCGATTTATAGTGCTAGCCCACTGAGATACCATGCTGCAGTTAAACATGAATACCCCCCACTCAGACACAGTATACTGACTCAGAGCCGATCAGTCCTTGTTTTATGCCCTTAATGCCGAGCGCCAGGCAGGGTAAAAAGAAGTACCATCTTTTAACGTCTCTTGGTATGATGCGGCCGGGATCGACCTTCCGCTCTCCGGGCGGACGCTCAACCACTGGACCACGGAGGGGGTCATTCCAGTAATAAAGACAATAGCATAGATGATTGAGTGCATGACAGTCAGAGTGACAGTAGTTGTTAAAAAAGACAAGTACAGAACTTGCATGGTCATGCTGTTGTTATCAATATTACAGCAATGTAACAACGATGGAGTTAAGGTAGTACATGTGGTAACAGCTGACGTAAGAGACGTGATAGAACTTATAACGGTACTACGTCAGAGAACCAGGTGCATATGATTATTATTGTCCATTTTTCCTCTACTGTACCCAGATTGCTAAGTTAAAGGTGTACAAGAAATATAAGGTGAGGTGAAATGGGTTTAATGTCGCGTCCAAGATTATTGCACTCTGTGTGTGTGTGTCTGTGGCTGCTTGTACTAGTCCGAACTAATGCCGATTTTACAGCGCTAGCTCACTGAGATACCATGCTTTTCAGTTTAACATGACTCCGAGCCTACCAGTCCTTGCTTTAGCCCCGTAATGCCGAGCGCCAGACAGGGTAACAACAAGTACCATATTTTAACGTCTTTTGGTATGACGCAGCCGGGGATCGAACCCCGGGCCTTCTGCTCTCCGGGCGTACGCTCTACCACTAGACCACGGAGGCGGTCATCAGAAATATTAAAACTAGGTGTGATTGTAGTCTTCGCGGTACATGAAGAGTGGTCAAGACCTGTAGTATTAATGATTTTAGGCTTAACATTATAGACTACTCCAAAAGAGGTTAAAGATCATCCGATTTTTTATATTAAAAAATCGTTTGTTCTTTAACTTTTTTTAGTAATATATATCATCATACCACATGCAGATGATGGTGCGCTTTTCCCAAGCACTGATTTGTATTATTTCAACAAGGAGGCGATAAGAAGCCTCGGCTGACAAAAACAAAATACAATTGTTTCCAGCAAAACCTGTGTTTGTTGTGGATGAAATTCTATCATTCACACACGTAAGGTAATTATTAACCGATACAACCTAATGTTTTCATTTCCAAGTAGTATGCGTTGAGATCACATAGGATATACAAACGCTTAGATACACGCATGGTTCTGAGCTCCTCAAAGCCATTATTAGAGTCTAGAACAAATGATACGTCCTAATATTGTAAATTCGTGACCTTCAGCATTTCAGATGAAAGCGAGTATCGCTTCACGGTGTTTGCGTTGGGTTTAGAGAGGACTGCAGTCACCGTCCACGCAGAAAAAGACGACTGTTTAGGGGCTTAAAAACGGAATCCATTCCGAAAATATTGACACATCGCGCTTTATTCGGTGTTTCACAAATAGCAGGCAAACAGTGGGGCAAAATAGGGACGCTGAACATTTCTGACGTGACTTTTCGAGAAGAAAAGAATTCATTACAATTCTTCTCTTGCCGCAAGTCAGGTGCCACATACACACGCCGTTTGTGCACTGTAGGAGAAACACTGTAGGAGAAACACTGTAGGAGAAACACTGTAGGAGAAACACTGTAGGAGAAACAGAGTGGAGGAGAAACATTGTAGGAGAAACACTGTAGGAGAAACACTGTAGGAGAAACACTGTAGGAGAAACAGAGTGGAGGACAAACACTGTAAGAGAAACACTGTAGGAGAAACACTGTAGGAGAAACACTGTAGGAGAAACAGAGTGGAGGAGAAACACTGTAGGAGAAACACTGTAGGAGAAACAGAGTGGAGGAGAAACACTGTAGGAGAAACACTGTAGGAGAAACAGAGTGGAGGACAAACACTGTAAGAGAAACACTGTAGGAGAAACACTGTAGGAGAAACAGAGTGGAGGAGAAACACTGTAGGAGAAACACTGTAGGAGAAACAGAGTGGAGGAGAAACACTGTAGGAGAAACATTGTAGGAGAAACACTGTAGGAGAAACACTGTAGGAGAAACAGAGTGGAGGAGAAACACTGTAGGAGAAACACTGTAGGAGAAACAGAGTGGAGGAGAAACACTGTAGGAGAAACAGAGTGGAGGAGAAACACTGTAGGAGAAACATTGTAGGAGAAACACTGTAGGAGAAACAGAGTGGAGGAGAAACACTGTAAGAGAAACACTGTAGGAGAAACAGAGTGGAGGAGAAACACTGTAAGAGAAACACTGTAGGAGAAACAGAGTGGAGGAGAAACACTGTAAGAGAAACACTGTAGGAGAAACAGTGTGGCTCGCGAGAAAGATGCATTTTCGGGCCCCTAGGGATTCACATTGCTCAGTGAACAGGGGTATTTTCAGTCCCGTGGAGTCCCTATTGATAAATGGGGTGAGATTCTGACACTGTGGTCTAAAGTTAATCACGTGACATGGCTATTTTCTTTCCCCTATAGGGCCTAGATTGCTCTCATAACAAGGTAATAGGAGCCATAGTTGTTCGTGTGTATTTGTAGTCCCAGGGGGTATATATACCTCACGGAACGTGTCTTTTTCAGTCCCCTATGGCCTATATTACTCACATCCTAGGGGTATTTTTACCCCTAGGGCCTATATTGATCACGGGGCATGGGTATGTCCTGTACCACAGGGCCTCTGCTTCTCAATGGACTGGGGTATATTCATAACAGTACGTATGTAATTGTAGTTTAGTAAGGTGTATATTGCTTGAGAGTAGTTTGTGTCCCATATGACCTATATTAATCACGGAACATAGGTACTTTAATTTCCCTAGGACCTTTGCTAACGGGTCAGTGGTATTTTCTGTTTCCCTAGGGCCTATATATATTCTTCGCAAGACATAGGTACTTTCTTTCCCCTAGGACCTATAATGCTAACCGGTCAGTGGTATTTTAGTTTCCCTAGGGTGTGTATATATTGTTCGCAGGACATATCCATAAATATATACACTCTCGACACATGACATATCCAATTCATTATATACTTTTTGTGTCGTTATCTTTCGGAATATTAAATTATTTCATTACAAATGTAAAACGTAAAAACGTAAATTCTCCCTACCTGACACACAGTAGTTTGCAAAATCTTAAATAATATAGACAAAAGTAAAAAAAATCTTTATCATATATATATAATCAACTTATAAAAAAATAATTCAGTTTGAAATCTACGAGAACGCTGTTTGAAGCAAAAAAATGCACACTGGGCAAACAACAAAAATGGTGCTTTGCAGAACGAACAGTTTCGATTGACGAGTTAAATGAGAAATTTACAGTTTAGAAACAAACATTTTCAAGAGAATGACAACCGACAAGAAGCGATAAAAAATAGATAAATGACTATCTTTTATTATTCTACCTTGTCAAAGTGGAACTAACGTAAAAAGGAAGTCAACGGTTTGTGCAAGGGACAGACACTTGCGATAAAGGGAGACAATTTGAGGGGAGCTCTTGTATGACAATCGTTACATAAAATATATATAAAATGCTTACGACCAGTGGTATTTTCTGTTCCCTTGTGCCTATGTGTTATCTAACCCCTGGGACATGTATTGCTCTTGGCAGTATTTATTTTGTCCTCTCTGAAATTTATGTTGGGCTTTTTCAACCAAGATCACAAACGCAGAAGATGATTACAATGTACAACGTACACCCATATAATCCAAACAACTTGACATTCCTCTGAAACCGACTGCTAGAAGGAAGGTTTATATTTACCTATGAACCCTTTCATTACAAAGAAGAAAAAACTGAACGCACCATGTTTTGTATCTACAATATCCGCTTATTATATTTATCTTCATCTTTCTCTGTAATATTTGACCCGTGAAGATCCGGGGTAGAATAGGTCGTCAGCAACCAATGCTTACCTTAAAAGGCGACTATGCTTGTCGTAAGAGGCGACTAACGGGATCGGGTGGTCAGGTTTGCTGACTTGGTTGATGCATGTCATCAATCCCAATTGCGTGGATCGATGCTCATGATATTAATCACTGGATTGTCTGGTCCAGATTCGATTACTTACAGACCGCCGTCATATAGCTGGAATATTGCTGAGTGCGGCGTTAAACAACAAACCAACCAACCAACTGTAATATTTACCTTTGGTGTTGAGAGGCCCAGGATACAGATGCTGGGGAATTAAACCATTACCCCGGACATCGCACAAACCGGACACCTCACAGTAGGGACAATTCATTAAATAAACACTACTGGGTCACACATCGTGATTTCATGAATCTATCCAGAAGGTTGATATAGAAAAGAAACAAAAATACTCACAACAAAAAACATACACATGCATCCCACGTAACGTGCATTACGTGACTTGCTTGTAGAGTTGTTCGGACATGTTTAGAAAACATAACATCTCTCTATTCGTTGATCAGGATGAATGTAGTGTTAAATATAATTATGTTTGGCCTCTTTAATTGTTGTCTTATTTTGTTCAAATTCTCAAAACTGTTTTTAAATTTAAGAATATTGTGATATTTGGCCCTTGTAATATTTCATGCACACCAGTAGGCATAATGTAACCATTCCATGTCTTATGCATGGTGCCTCAGTAGACATGTATATAGCCGCGGTATAGCAGTTTGTTTAAATAATTCTTGTAATCCTAGAAAACCTCTTAACACTAGTTTCATGTTCTCACAGCTAGTATTTAATCTGGAGTCCTAGCGAATTGGAATCTGATCATTCAAAATCTACATTCACCGTCTAGATCAAGTTTGTAGTAGAAATTTCTTACATGCTAACCCTTTTCGCTAACACCGAGTGTCATCACTGATTTTCAGTGGTCCATTCATGTAGTTTTCACAGCTATTTTCCCCTTTGCGCCAGTGGAATCTGTTTCGGCAAATGTTCCGGACTGGTTGTTTTCTTGTATTGATGTTTTATATTTATGATTATGGAAATTATTTTTGTCGCTTTAATTAATTATTATTACTTTGATCAATCTAGTATTTTAAAAAAAATCATTTACTAATTTGTACTTTAATTACACCATCTAGACCTACACTGGGAATAGTCACCAGTCCGTTACCCTAGCAACTCTTTATAATCATTCTTTTGGGGAGTTTCGTTATGTAATTATCCTAACGTTTCAAATGATTAATATGATATCACAAACAATTATTTTTCATCAGAAAGACAGAAGACACAGAAGGAAAATAAAAGAGAATGAATTAATTTCTACATGTTGAACTTAGGAACTTCATCTTAGTATTGCCGGTTGTCAAATGAGGGCATGGCAACAGTTCGAGGAAAGTCCATGAACATTTTGTCTAAGCTATAGAGGATGACAGAGACTTCAGGTGGTTTTACATGGTTATACGCAGTGTTCGAAAAGTTAAACTGACGGGCAAAAGAAAGTATACACCCAGTTTTGATAGTGGCTAAAAATATTTTAAAAAAACAGGAAATAGTTATTTGATGGTCATGTATTTGGTACTGGTATCATAGTTGTGTTTTGGACATTTACTTTACTGCGGTGTTAAAGCGACTATTTCAGTAACGTTTTGATAACGTTTGTAATTTTTTTATCAAATTCAGTTACAAGTGTATACTTTCTTTGACAAGGTAGAGACAATGTATGGATAACAACTTCTTTATTTACTGTAAATGCAACGTTTCGGTATAGACCCTTATACCGTTGTCAAGCAAGGCTACAACGGTATAAGGATCTATATCGAAACGTCGCCTTTACAGTAAAATTAATAAAGAAGTTGTTATCCATAAAGTGACTCTAGTTTGTCATCCGTCAACTTCTTAGTCATGCCTATCAAACAATTTATACTTTCTTTGATGGATTTGAGGTTTTGGACCTTAAGTTCGCAGTGATACGGCAACTGTTTTCAGCCTTGTAACGTTTTGATATCGATTGTAATTGAGTGTAATATAAGTCATATATATTCAAACATATCCTTTAGAGGAAGAATTCCTGAAGAGTTGGTAAACGCGTTATAAACGTGACAGACATGGACGACATTGTTCTTCAGCGTTCAGGTGACACGCAAGGAAAAGAACTTCGCATCCGCATCTTATAACTTGAAGCATGCAGCTTCATCAACAAGATATTAATTACATCACATGTATAATGCAGGTTAAAGAAATCAACTATCATTCATCAAGTTTCAAAGTAATAAATTATATTATTTTTCTAGTTAACGGTGTACAAATGAAAAAAATATACTACTTACCAAGAAGACACAGAACTACTCTCATTATGCCAACGATAAGAATCCAACCACGAATCTCACAATATTCCACTGAGGTTTCCAACCAAATATAATACTTTGCCGAACAATGGAAGTCAACCAACACCTTCTTTCTTCTCCTTGATCTGCGGTCCGCTATTTCAGTTTGACCAAAGGCAGAGACAAGAAATCAACTAAATTCAGCTCGTATTTCCGTGGTCCTGTTGTGTCGCTGTCAAAGTCCTATGACATTGTTTGAGATGCTGGCGAGCCTACGTTCAGGAGGTCGTCTCTCACTGGTTGCGCCTAGTGTGTCGACGCTTGATCCTGCCGTTCGGAGCTCCCACAGGTACGATACGTGATGTCCCGGAGTTTGAGTGGACCTCTCCCCACGATGCACGGTCAGCTGTTGTGAAAACTTTGTGTTATTAAAACTTTGATATACTGTATAGCGGTTGGGCGTATTTTTTAAAATTATTCGTGACATGGATTTTAGAAATAACGTGACATGGATTTTATAAATAACGTTATGATTTTTTTTTCACTTCGTTAATTAAATATATGTGGTGGAGTTCCTTTAATGAATTGATTGATATTTACTTCGGTATGTTAATATTTGTAGTATTTACATCCTATGACAAAGGTGCGCATGTTATGCTAGACTTTCACCACTTCAGTGCCAGGTCTTAGATTATTGTATTGTTGTCAACCTATCCCCCGATAAAATGAGGGACCAGAGAAACTATACCTCTCAGTTGTTCTATCATATGTTTGATTTAAAATTGGAAATATTTAAATGAGCGATATTTTATGAAAAAACATTAACTGTACTGGCTGATAGTCAGCGCCCAAAGAATATTTCTACTTGGTTTGATTTTTAAAAATATAATTTGATTAAAAAAAAATTAAATAAAAAATGTAATTCACATAATACACAACGGTTGATGGGTATTTTGACATCTTGTCCTTGAAAATCAATACATTTGCTATTTTCAGCTCAAATTCACATTACAGACACGGTAGGGGTCTTGTGGTTGCAAATTCATATCTTACCCAAGTCTTCATTGGACAAACTATTTTTTTACGCAAAATTACCAAGCCACAGATTCCTTTTTAGAAACTGTTGCAGGAATGAATGACGACTAAATAAACATAATCATATTTGACAAAGGTTCTTTCAGTTTTAAGTTACATGACAAATAAACTCGATATATATACAGTATATATCTCTGGCGATGCGACAGTAATGTGGTTGAAGAGATTGTGGGTCCCTCTGAATTCCCCTGCTCGATTCCCCGGATGGGTAAACTGTGTGAATAAACTGATTTTACTTTCATTACAGGACCAATAAAAAAATCTATGGCATGCGCATGTGTTTGTTTTCATAATCGTTTTTCATTTTCTAAAATGAAGTATCATACAATACGCATTTTACACAAAAATAGCTTTACATAATTTAATATTGTGACACATGAGACTTATTGGATAGTCACTGGATAGTTCGAGATACCTACTTGATAGTCACCGGGATACAACAGAATCGCTATGAGATATGCACTGGATAGTTACTGGATAGTCAAAACATAAGTCGATGGAAAGTAACCGGATAGTCACCGGGTAATCACCAGGTAGTACTGGTTAGTCGCCCGATAGTAACAAATTGTCATTGAATAGTCAATTGATAGTTACCGGCTAGTCACGGAATAGTCACCGTAGAAATGCCGGATCCTTACAGGATAGTTACTAGTTAGTCACCCCAAATGGTAACTGGACAATTAGTGGATAGTCACTAGATAGTTACGGGATAGTTACCGGGTTATTATCATAATCCAGTAATCACCAGGTAGGATAGTCACCGGATAGAAACAATTAGTCATTAATAAGTTAAATCACACTTTCAGAATAGAAATTAGATAGTTACGGGATAGTTTCAGGATTGTTACCGGATAATCACCAGATAGCAACCAATAGTCATTGAATAGTTAACGGATAGTTAGTGGATAGTTACCGGATATTCAGTAGATGTATACCGGATAGTAACAAATAGACCTGAATAGTCACCTTATATTTCCGGGAAAGTTATTATCATAAACGGATAGTCACTGGATAGTAACAATTAGTCTTTAATAAGTCAACGTGCGCTTTCAGAATGGTCATTAGATTGTTACCGGATAGTCACCAGATAGTCCTCGATAGTGACAAATAGTCATTGAATAGTCAACTGGTAGTTACTGGACACTTATTAGATATATACCGGATAATCACCAGATAGTAACCAATAGTCATTGAATAGTCAACGGATAGTTACTGGATAGTTACCGGATATTTAGTAGATATCTACCGGATAGTAAGAAATGGAAAGGTATAATCTCCATACATTTCCGAGAAATTTATTATCATAATCGGAAAGTCACTAACAAGTAACAATAAGGCTTTAGTAAGATCATCGTATTTTCCGGACAGAAAACTGGATAGTCACCAGATAGTAACAAATAGCCATTGAATAGTCAACGGATAGTAACTGGGTAGTCACCATTTAGTTACCGGATGATTTGTTGGCTATATACCGGATAGTAACAAATGGAATCGGGTGGTCAATAGACAGATACCGAATAGTCAACGGATTGTTAGCCAGTAGTTATCAGAGAGCCCCTGGCAGTGCATCTGTGTTCCCCCCAGCCATATATGTATACGTACAGTTTCAACACGAAACATTTGTCTTATACGACTCGGATTAGCAAAGCGTGGGTTCTGCGCAATTTTTAGTTTCCTCAAAGAAGTCCCGTGGATTCAGAGCAATTTGAGTTTCCTAAAAGAGTCCAATATTATATGCTAGATTAAAATATGTGCCTGTCATGTGATCTGAGGATCATTATATTCGTTACGATAACTTTTATTGACAAGATACGTTACACACTCTCTCTCTCTCTCTCTCTCTCTCTCTCTCTCTCTCTCTCTCTCTCTCTCTCTCTCTCTCTCTCTCTCTCTCTCCTGTCTTTGGCCAACAGGTCAGTTTGAAACCACGTTTGATGTTGTATTTTGTACAAATATGTTCTCTGTTTGCGGGTTCCTTCACATCGACCTGTCATACAATTACTGTTGAAAAAGGGAAGCAGGCACAGGCCAATTCACTAAAACAACGAAAAATGCCCCCAAAACAAACTCCCCAAATCCGCACACGATTCTTCCGTGTGCCCATGCGATTTCACGGGACACTGAGAAATGATGAAAATGATGTGGTTGCAATCTCAAATATTTTTTTTCTTTACTATGTGTTTTGGAGTTAGTGAGTGAGTTAGGTTTAACGCCGCTCTGACAATGTCAGCTTGGTGTGGGATGAAAGCCCAACGTGATGCAGGTCTTAGACGTTTACCACTTCAGAGAAACCCTCGAGCAGTGTATGATGCTGACAAACCTAGAAACAATCGAAGCGAACTGGGATTCGAACCCACGATCATAGGTTCCTGGCGTGCCCAAGGGACGCAACTCTGCACAGCGAATTGAGGAGCCTTGGAGGACCGGGCCACCCGTGCCCACTACTATTTGTAAAATACACCCCAAAGTGGATACTAGTACGTACTGGGTGGTTTTATCGCAGGTGTTTGTTTATTCCCCTCCTGACCTTGTGTTTGATTATCACAGTGACCTCTTTCTGTTACATCCATGACAAAGTCACGCTCTGTGGCCTTAATGTACATGCTCCCCATCCAACACCTTTGTGTATTTCCGGCTCGTGTAATAGTGTACCGTTTTACCGTTATTGTCAATGAACTTCTAATAATCGGTAACGGATCTTTGAGCGTTTTTTAAGGTGACACATTCCTGTTGAGTTTTTTAACAATATTAAAAAGTACCTTTAAAGAATTACTTTTAAATATTAAGACCATATGATGACGTCTCGGCACACTCCATGGTATAATAATCCAGGGATTTAGTATATTTGTCTTAACTTTGATATTTTAAGACAGGTTTAAATCATCTGTTTGTGTGAGCTTAGCTGAGCTGTATGATATCCTGGTTTACGCGAGTAAGAACGGGAAAGAAGACTAGTGGTCGGTGCGTTTGTCTGTCACACTGTGGTCATCGGTTCGAATCCCCATATTGGTACACTGAAAACCCTTATTGCGTTCTGGCATCGACGCCAAATTGGTTGACGCAGAATATACTCTAAAGTGTTTGTTTTTTGTTCAACGTCGCACTCAGCAATATTCCAACTCTATGGCGGCGGTCTGTAGATAATCGAGTCTGGATTAGACAATCCAGTGACTGACATCATGAGCATCGATCTGCGCAGTTGGGATACGATGGCATGCATCAACCAAATCAGCGAGACTGACCACCCGATCCCGTTAGTCGCCTCTTTCGACAAGCATAGTTGCCTTCTACGGCAAGCATGGGTTGCTGAAGACCTATTCTACCCCGGATGTTCACGGGAGTACTATAAAGTGAGTGAGTATGGTTTTACGTCGGTTTTAGCAATATAACACCAATATCACCAGAAATGGGATTCACTGTGGGGAATCGAACCCGGCCTTCATTGTAAATAGCGAACACGTTAACCACTAGACTATCAAAATGTCCGACCAAATACAACTCTGCAACCCACCTAAGTTACAAACGTTACTCAGCCATTCATGTTTGTTCACTTTTCGTTTTTTACAATACCCCTTCCATAACCATTAGAGGGGCGGTCGGGCAGCCTAGTGGTTAAAGGGTTCGCTCGTCACGCCGAAGACCCGGGTTCGATTCCCGACATGCGTACAATGTGTGAAGCCCGTGATATTGCTGGAATATTGATAAAAGCGGCGTAAAACCATACTCACTCACTCACTCATAACCACAAGACATATCCATTAGAGTCCATTTTACGATTCCGACAATATCATAAGCTATGTTTATGAATCATTATCAAATGATAATGAAACCAGGTGTTCACAAAGAGGTTAGCGTATCCTGCCCCACCGGTGGCACTCGTCACAAACACATGCAAAGGCAAGTCTTGTGTTCACCTGACCAAACACGGGATCACTTAGTATAATCTAAATAAGGAATTGCATCGGACATCAGTTGGTCACTGATGCATTACATTTGGACATGTCCTCCTACCATAAAACATTTTGAAAGCTTTCCAAAGGCTTTGATGAAAAAACTTTTGAACTAGAGTGGCGTGAGATTTTGATAATTTCGAAGAAACAGCATGCTCGATTCTTCCTCAAAAGTCTTGAAATGGGAACACCAAAGGCTGGAGTTGCTGGAATACACCTCGACACAATGGGAACGTTGTTTATTGGAAAATTGAAGTCACCCCTCTTGTCATACATAAAAACACGGGAACATATGTTCAAAATAGGGAAGTGCATCGGACATCATTTTTGTCACTGATTCGTCAAATTTGGAAATGTCAGC